ATTATTTTCTTTGCATGCACACATTTTTCCAATGAATTTTGTGCAAGTTTCTCACATATATATATGCCAAGATCTACGTTTACATGCGTGAGAAAAAATAATTGTACAGGAAGAAAGATTACCTATTTAACTTATATGGCTATGAGTTTTGTTCATTTTGATCACCTTGATTCACTTTTTCACAGTATGTACAAATAATGAAAGTACGCTGAAGTCCATCATGAAGAAGAAAGATGGTAACAAAGATTCAAATGGCACGAAAAAGAATCTTCAGTTTGTTGGCATTAATGGAGGGTAAGGAAAGATGGTACTAGAGTTTAACACTGTCTGTCTCCTTTGCCTTCTGCCTATTTAAGTCACATTTTAAGGTACCTGCTCTGGGAAGCTGCCACATCTTGGTGATGGAAGATTCCCTCCTCAGAAAGGTGCATTTGGGCTTCTCCTCTTCTCTTCTTGCTATCGTTAAGGATATGTCACTCTCTTAAGGATACCTGATGAAGCTGAGCAGTTTACACCTCCTCACCTCTGATCTGAAAAAAATTAGTCTTCAACGAATGCAGCAGGGTTCCTGCACTGTTGGACAACTTGTGCTTACCTATATTAGAACTCAGAAATGAGCAGAGACTGAGAGCATCACTCAGTGGGCCAGTGATAGTCAGCCACTCCTTCAGAATGGGTTGTTTGGCTTAGTTCTCCATGTTCACAAAGTTGTAGGGCCTTTCACCTGAAGAATGACCTAGCCACACCATCAGTTCTTTGCTTTCTAAATAGAATGTTTATTGTTTGTTCCTCCTCTTCCAGCTGGCCCAGGTAAATAGTTAAGCCTGTTTGTCCTCCTGTAATTGAACCAAAGCAAATAATTGATTAGTAGATAATTATTCAGCATCAATAATTATATATTAATCAGCAAGAAAACAAAAGTACAAAGTTAGTTGAGATAGTATTTATAGTAAAGTGTGCCACCAAGATACCACGATGGTACCTGTTTTCTAAATCTTAAAAGCTTTATTGGTTGATGTGGCCCAGGAGGTTTTGGAGGGCATGCACAAGAGAAACTATTGGTTATTTAAGTAACATATTCACCTTGACACTGGGAGAATTAATAGGGCAAAATAGGAAGAATAGGGGAAAAAAGGAAAGACATAAAAAATGAGCAACTGTAGATCTGGTTTCCATAAAGTAAATTTTCTCTTGATTTATACTAAGCCAGAGATGCCATAATTTTTTTTAACAAGCAGTATATGATACCAGCTGGCAACCCAGCTTGTCCCTTTTAACACATTGACTACCACACTGGAAAAAAAAGTTTTTTTCCTTGGGGCCATGGTGTTTTATTAGGAAAATAGAACAAAAACTTCAAAAACAAAATGATCCTTGCTAATTTAATGAAAAATTAGTTATTTTTTATTGTTTTCTGTACATGAGTTATATGCAACTTGAAAATTAGTTCTTGTAGCTCCCAAGGTGGAGATGTGAGTAACATGCTTCATGAGGCCTGGGGCTCAAAACTAGCATGACTTAAATACAACTCACATGGCAGTTAATATGTTAAGTTAGAATCTGTTCAAAACCACTAGGCATTTTAATAGACCTTACTTTGAACTTCTAAGGGCATGGTCTAAAACGACTGGCGAAATTTCTGGAGTCAGCTAGCAGCTTTCCCTGAGTAAAAATTTCTGTCACTGGGTCTTTATGGGCACACCTTGCATCTCCTGAAATCCCAATTGCCACCTAGGTATGAAACAACTTCAAGTGATGATTCCAGCTCAGATGAAAGCTCTTCTTCCGAGTCAGATGATGAGTGTGATGTCATTGAATATCCTCCTGAAGAAGAGGAGGAGGAAGAAGAGGATGAAGACACTCGGGGAATGGCAGAAGGGCACCATGCAGTTAATATTGAAGGTTTCAAGTCTGCCAGGGTGGAAGATGAAATGCAGGTTCAAGAATGTGAACCTGAGAAGGTGGAGATCAGAGAGAGGTGTGGTACATTCCCCTTTCCTCCCCGACCTTCCCGTGTTTAATGTACTTTGGCAACAGAGTTGGCCAGTTCAGAGATTGTGCAATTACATCTATTTGGTCTTATCTGTTCCTCAGAGGTATGCACATCTCACTGAGATATTAATAAATACAAGTGCAGAGTGTGGTAACTCTTGGATATCTTATGGTAGCAAAGAGAATGGCTTTATATCTAATCACATTCGTTCTCTGAAACTCTTTTTGCTATCTAATTTTACATTTGAAACCACCATCCACTAAAGCTTCCATTGTTTGAACATCTCACCTTATATTTAAAGACATATTTGAATTTTTTGGTGACCAGAACACAGTTTTTTAAGATTTCAGATTTTATCTCTAGCCATTTATGTTTATATGGGTGTCAATATTATTATTACAGGATCATTGTGTGAGAAACAGTTGTTTGGCCTCAACCATAGATTACATTTACTGTAAAGATGATACGTATCACTTACATGTCCATATGTTGTACATTGAGTGTTCAGGAACACAAAAATGCATTAAGGAATATTATAAATAGCAGCTGAAATAAAATATCAAACACTCGTTGGCTGAAACATGAACCTAAAAATGTAGTAAGTTTTCAAGACTATTAGCAAATATGGATTTTGTGCTCATAAAGCAGGAGAGAATAGAATGGAAAAGATGGAAATTTCAGTGTGGTTTTTCACTATGTGAAATATAAAGGACATTTCAGGAAACTTACCTCCATTTAATTTGGCAAATGAAAGTTTAACTGCATTAACACAAGGTAAGTGTTTTTAGTTTGTATTTCCAAGTGTTTTCAAATGGCTCAATATCTTGTCATCTGTTTTTTTATTTTTTTTTAATGGCTTCAGATGTAATTTCTGTACCATATGTCATCTGATTTTTTTAGTTTAATTTTTTATATGGGATAAACAAACACTTCTTAAGTCACCAAATGTGGGTTCAGATGTGTGGTTTACCGGTAAGCATAATAGATATAGGGTAATTTGGAAGTCTTCAACCCCTTAAAAGTAAAAATATGGTTAAGAACTTAGAAGAGGAGGAAAAAAATCTCCAAATGTTATGCCATAATGTTGTAAAGGCCAAACTGGGGAAACCAAAAATATCCTCATAAAAAGACCTTGAGCTCTGGCTGGAGGTACTGGCTCTGCACGGTGGCATCAATCCTCACACACTTGCAGATGCCTGGGGTACCTCTAGCCAAGCACCCTGCACCATCACAAGGTGCAAGGCTGGCCTAGGCTGGCTTTGGGACCACTTGTTTTTTAAAGGGTAATATAGGATTAAGATAAAAATTACTTTCCTCTTGTTGGCCAGTCATGAACATGAGCTCTCTTTATTTTTCTCCCGTTTTAGGTATGAGTTAAGTGAAAAGATGTTGTCTGCATGCAACTTACTGAAAAATAATATAAATGACCCCAAAGCTTTGACCAGCAAAGATATGGTGAGTTTGACCTAAAGGTACTGTCCCCAGTTTGCGCAAAGTGCCCAGGTGGGCACCACTGTCAGTGCGGTCATGGCCTGCCCCTGAGCTGCTGCCATTTGCGTGCTTGTCCCCTTACTGTTTCTAGCAGGAGTGCGCAGAGTGAGCATTGTGCTGCCTAGTTTGCCAGATCACGCTGTGAGTGTTTCCCTGAATCCCCAGCTTTGGACATTCTTTACCCATCCTGTACTTTTCTTGGGGTGGAGTCATCTGTGAGGCATATACTTGCAGAGAGAAGGCTGGGCTAATTGCAGTCAATTGTCTTCTTTCTACATATTCCACTTCTGTTTACAGAACGTTATGATCCAGGGAGCAGCATTTCAGAATTTTTTTAAGTTAGCATGTTTTTAAAAGAAACCTGTCTGGGCTGAGGTCAGCATTCCTTTCAGTTATGAAACTGTATATTATGTTCTGATGTGGAATGCAGGCGGCCACGATTTTTTAAACATAAAAATAACTGCACTTGTCATCTTCTCACAGTGTGAGAAATTCAGAAGCAAATAGCAAAGAGGTTGTGGTTGCCTTAGTGATCAAGAATAGCACAACATAGAACACATAAATATTTCTTATGGCAATGGTTAATCTGATGTCATTGCCAAGTATGACACTCTCTCATGCACTGACGTTTTTATGTGTGCAGACTCTTTCATAGGCCAGGCCAACCCTCTGGTTGATAGCTCTGTCTTCAGTGCTTTGAGAAAATGTAGTTGGAGGACCTCCGTGGATACCAAAATCCATAGAAGCTGAAGTCCTTTATATAAAATAGCATAGTATTTGCCTATAACCTACATATACTTTAAATCATCTGGAGGTACTTATAATACCCAGTACAATGTAAATACTGTGTAAACAGTTCTTACACTGTATTTTTTATTTGTGTTACTTTTATTGTTATTTTTTCTTGTTTTTATTTTTCCGAATATTTCACTCCACAGTTGGTTGAATTGTGGTTGTGGAACCTGCAGATACAGAGGGTTGGTCAACCGTATAAATAAAATTCCTGGTCGAGGAGAAACATAGAACTGCATATTGAAATTCATCAGTACAAATTAAAGGCCTGGCTATACCTTGGTCACAAATAGTAAAACCACGAAATGTCACCACAGTGTCAATATTTCCCACTGGGTTTAACCTGAATTTAAAACTATTGCTTTAGGACCCCAGATTTTATAGCTATGGTATACTTTTTTTTTATGGTTCTGAATGCTAGCTTATGTGGTTTTTAGGAAGGACCTTACATTCCTGCATCCCCAAATTGCCGTGCACAGTGTTATTCACACACTCTGTGACCAGTACATTTTTTGTTGATTGAATTTCCATTCAGTGTAAAAGTGTTTAAGGTATTGTGCTTTGAAAAGTAGCAGACATCTGAATGGTCACAATGCCAGGGCCAAATAGTTGTATCAGGACACTGATTATTTAAGCAGTAACAGAGTTAGGACAGCCAGAGGACATAATTTCCCTTTTTTGTGTGTGTGATGACTTCAAAGAAATAGAAATCTAAATGTGTAAAGACTGAGCAGAAGAAAAGAAAATTAGATAAAGCGTAAGCAAAGCACAAATCAATGCTAAAGACATAGAAAAGCAGGCCCATAGAAAATGGCATTGCAGTCATCCCCATCACCAGCCCTGGCTGTGCCTAGTCAGCGTGAAGCTTCATGTGGTCACACACGAGTTGATCATCCACAAAACAAGCGCCATGTTCATGTGGCCACAGCCTAAGGAAGTCTGAGTGGGGCTGATGATCAGAGGCAGATGATCCAAATGAGAAATGAAATTAGTTGCAGACCTGCTTTTTGTCCCCTTTCCATCGCTAAGCATTTGTATTTGGGATTGGGGGGGGAACCGGGTTGGCTTCATGCTTATGGTCCCCCAGCATATGACTGTGGAGGAGTCGGAGGAGTTGAGGTTGGTCTGGATAGGAAGGAAGTGGCATAATTAAGCGTGGGCTAATTAATTTCTTCCTGATTTCTATGAAAATCATTTGCAAGGCCAGCATAATTATATAACATTAATGGCGTGGTAATGAATTGAGCCAGGCCTGAGTGTTTCATTCTCATCACAAACACTGTGAAAAGAAGGTATTATCTCTATTTTTCAGATGAGGAAGCTGAGACAAGGTAAAAGTAACTTCCCCAGGGTCCCATAGCTCATAAGTAGCAGAGCCCAAATTTGAACGTCAGTGGTCTAGCTACAGACCCCCTGGTCTTGCACAGCGCTATATGGTCTCTTTTATAGAAATCGGAATATGTATGTGGCTTAAAATCAGGAGAGATGTCGCAGTTTGCTGTTTGAAGCTTCTCTTAGGGCTCTGGTTTTTGTTAGTTGTTTCTGAGAACAGATTCTAACTGCATGTACTTTGACTATAAAAGGCCTAGCTACTTGGGCTTTCAGGCTAGGTCTCAGCAAGGTTTATAAATAGAAGAATTAATGGCCGCTCGGTGTTTTGGCAGAGATTCTGTCTGAACACCCTCCAGCACGAGTGGTTCCGCGTGTCCAGTCAGAAATCAGCTATTCCAGCCATGGTGGGGGACTACATAGCTGCTTTTGAGGCCATCTCCCCAGACGTCCTCCGCTACGTCATCAACATGGCTGATGGCAACGGCAACACGGCCCTCCACTACAGTGTGTCCCACTCCAACTTTGAGATTGTGAAGCTGCTTTTGGACGCTGGTACGTTGGCTGCACCCATCTCTTCTCTAACAGCCCTTGGGTGGTGACTCATCTCAAAAAAGCTGGTTGAGCCACTCCTGAATTCTCTGACCACCCTAAAATCCTTTCCATTGCTTTTCCTTATGTGGTGGCAAGAATATTATTCTTGAGACATTAATGGGAGGTTTGAAATTTACACAAAACTGGGTGACACAGATTCCAGATCTGTTGTTTTTTTTTTGAGACAGTCTCTCACTCTGTTGCCTGGGCTAGAGTGCCGTGGCTTCAGCCTAGCTCACAGCAACCTCAAACTCCTGGGCTCAAGCGATCCTTCTGCCTCAGCCTCCCGAGTAGCTGGGACTATAATTTTTTCTATATATATTTTTTGTTGTCCAAATAATTTTTCTATTTTTAGTAGAGACAGGGTCTCACTCTTGATCAGGCTGGTCTCAGACTCCTGAGCTCAAATGATCCACCTGCCTCAGCCTCCCAGAGTGCTAGGATTACAGGCGTGAGCCATCCAGATCTGTTTTGAAAGGAGGTTTTGAGGATATTCTTGCTGCAGTTCAGCTGCATTCAAGTGAGGTGTATCCCTGGTAATAAACATGACTCACGTTCCTTCCTGAGCTGAGTCATGAAGGCTTGGCTGGTTTGCTCGCAGGAGGCAGAGGGCTGCTCATAGGCCCAGAGTCATAGCGTTGGTGCTTGTGGACCACACAGTCTGTCCTTGCCCCACGACCACCATCCTATGGTCTTGCAGAAGTGGGGGATTCCAGATGGACACCAGGCGAAGCCACTGTAGCAGATTATGGTAGAATCATCACCATTCTCGCCAAAATATACTGTTACTGGGGAAGCAATATAGAGGAAAGGGAGTGTTATTCTTATATCTGAACCATGATAGTGAGAATAGTGGAAATTTGCTATCCCAGAATGTAGCCAGTGGATATATTAAACGTGAAGTGAGGAAGTGGTACATAGGAGGATCCCCTTGAGAAACAGTGAGCTTTCAACTTTTTGTTCAAGTGGAACAGCCCAGTGATACACATAGTCCCCAAATCACTTTCATTGACTTTTGTAATACATATTTTTACTTCTAGTGTGTGACTGGTACAGAATTCACAGTACCTCAATCTAATTAAGACATTGACTGCCACACCAGAAAAAAATTTTTTTTCCTCAAGGCCACAGTGACTTATTATGAAATAGAATAAAAACTTTGAAAACAAAAACGATCCTTTCTGATTTAATGAAAAATTTATTTTTTTATTGCTTTCTATGTGTGAGTTATATGCAATTAAATTGTCAATACTAACTAACAATAAGAAGATCAACAAGATTTTCACACACCATATGCTTACATACGCTTCACAAGGCCCCGGGCTCAAAACTAGCATGAGTTAAATACAACTCACATGGCAGTTAATGTGTTAATGAGGATACAATGTGAACATCTAATTTGGAATACCCAGGAAAACTGTCTGATTTTCCTGAATTGTCTGTCCAGTTTTTTCTACTCTGCTTTAGGGATTTTGGGTTAATGCAGAGAAGAAATCCAAGCAGATCGATCCTTTTTTTCCTCCTCTAAGTTTGCTTGTTCCCTATTTTAGGGGCCGTTAGGGTATAACTGTTTCCATCGTACAGGAAGGAATTTCAAACCTCCTTCCCTTCAGACTTTCCAGACCTTAAACAGAGCTGGCGATAATGTCACCCAAGTTATTGTTTAAACAGAAGCAGATAATATCCAGGGAAGCTGGAAATAGGATTGCAGTATTACTCCTGAAAGGAACAATTTAATATACTCTTGGAAAATTAGAGTGGATCAAACATCTTGGCAAATTAAATGACTTTAATTCCATTGTTGGATGGTCTGATTTAATCACTCTTCTTTATGAATTTTTATTGCTCACCATTATAGACTGAGATTCTGGCTCCATAAAATGTGAATCTAGGCTGCTTCACCATCTGTGAAGCTTCAAAGAGCACGTGTACTTGCCCATGTCTTCTACAGCCTTTCTTTTCTTTTCCCTTTTTTACGTAAAAATATGCACTTTTAAAAACACCATTATGTCCTTAGTATGCAGTTGTTTGGGATCTTAACGTAAATTTTCATGGCACCTTTTCTACTCACTCCTTTATGATAAAAACATTCTAAATGTTTTAACTTGGTCACACAGAAATGCTGCTTTCTAATACTTATCATTCCTGTCATTTCATAGAACATGCTGAAAGAACTTTTAAATGCCTAAAGGATAATTTAGCCCTTGAAGACTCCTTAAGAATTATAGGAATAGAAGAGGTCTGGTTCACTGGGTCTGTCCATCCCTGGCTGTTTCTCAGAGGACTTCATGCATTTGCTCTCAGACCACAAATCCTAGAGCTAGACGTTATGTGACTGGAATTCTGCTCCTAAGGACCCCAAACGAATCAGAGTTATAAACTCAGGATCTCAGAATGAGGAGCGTTTGGATAAGCAGATAACACCGTATTCAGTGTTCATACACAGGCCTTTGCAAACCCTTCTTTCATCTGTGGCTCTCAGTGTCTGCTTCACTCCAAAACAGTGATTTCCTAAATACAGCTGCATGCCTACATTTCATATTGTTTATTCTCCAAAGAAGCCATTACTTAGAATAGCCTCACAGACCTCCAAGTTGTTGCAGTTCAACCACCAAGATGTGCTGTAGAAGCTTACTGTCATTTCTGTTGCTTTCATGAAATAGAAAAAATTTTTTTTACGTTTGGCATGAAATCATCTCTCACATTTCCTCCTAAGTCAATCTCAGACTACCTGGTGCCATTTCACTGGGCTCTTCTAAACCACATACCTTCAGTCCCTGTGTACAGCTGCTGTTAGGAGATGGCTGCTTCCTTAATACTCTTCTTTGCAGATGTGTGTAACGTGGATCACCAGAACAAGGCGGGATATACCCCCATCATGCTGGCGGCCCTTGCCGCCGTGGAAGCAGAAAAGGACATGCAGGTTGTGGAAGAACTCTTTGGCTGTGGGGACGTGAATGCCAAAGCCAGTCAGGTGAGCACACTTGCTTCCCGTGCTCTCGATTGCAGGTGTGACCGGTGGGTACCACACAGGCCTGCTGTGATCACTCTGCCAGAGCAGACAGTGACACCACGCTTCCCACCAGTGCACTTGCTCGCCAGCCCACCCCCAGTCCACGTGCTGCCCTTGCTGACCAAACACACCAGTGAAATATTCGTTTAAATTTTGCATTGGAAACTTCTCCCTCCCTTGCCTTGCCCTTCTGTTTGCAGAGTTTGCACAGAAATGGTTTAAGTCGGCCTGCATGTAAGTGACTAGGAGTCCACATCATATGTCCAGTGTCTGTTGTTTCCTGTCTCCCTGTTGAAGCGTCTTCATGCCAGGCATAGTGTCCCGAGTCCAGATGTGTTCACAACTTGGCTTTTATACATCTTCTGAACTCTCCAGTTCATCGCTATGATGAGACAGATCCTCCAAACTGAAATGAAAATTGACTCCTTTGTAATCGTCCTTAGCTTCCAAGAAGCTAGTTTCTGCATGCCTGACCCCGCCCGCCCAAGTAATACCATGTCCAGTTTTTCCCCTCTTGTCATCACACATCACACTCTTCTCTTCCCCTCCCCCAGCACAGCCCCACTACAGGCCCCCGCCCAGCTCCGTACGTACTTCTGAAATCCGCTGTCATTCCTTCCCACAGGCGGGGCAGACGGCCCTCATGCTGGCAGTCAGTCACGGGCGGATAGACATGGTGAAGGGCCTGCTGGCCTGTGGGGCCGACGTCAACATCCAGGACGACGAGGGCTCCACAGCCCTCATGTGTGCCAGCGAGCACGGGCACGTGGAGATCGTGAAGCTGCTGCTGGCCCAGCCAGGCTGCAACGGCCACCTGGAGGACAATGTGAGCTGTCTCCCTTGCGCCTTCAGGCCAGGGCCTGGGGGGCTCAGCCTTGCGTGCTGTTTGGCAAGAGGGAGAGAATGAATTCTCCTTTATTCTCTGTGGATTACGCTGCCATCCAGGCCACCACCCAGCTTGGCTACGCTTATTATGTGCAAGCTAATACTCCCATTAACTGAAGCCAAAGGCAGAAAGATAAATAGGCCTCACCCCAAAATTCACAAAAAGAAGAAAGTACTTTAATGGGCATGTGTGAGAATGGGCATTCAGGTGGTGAAAGGGTTTAAGATCACAGAGGTCGGGCTGGGTTGGTTCTGGTTTTGAAGGTTTATCTCTGCAGAGCATAGGTTAGACCAGAGCTTCCTTCAGTTCAAAACACCAGAAAGAAAGGAAAAATATCCTTCTTTTCACTAAACTTCAGATACCTCTGGGCCCAAGCCAGCAAGAAGAGCAGCAAACCAATGGGGGTTTTTACTGGGTTGAAGGGTTGACTGTCTTAGCAGTTCAGCTACCCCCACACCGCTGAAACACGTGCTGCATTCGTGCCACATCCCCTTAAATTGCCCTTGAGGGGAGAGAGTTTCCAACTTCTCTTTCCTCAAGGACAGCTTGTGTTAGATGAGTTTTGGTTTTTGTTTGTTTGGAAGAAAAGCAGCTCCCAGAACTCAGTGTGGGAGGGAGGGACCATACGATTAAACCACATGCGAACTATTTCCTGCTGCTTTTGACAGGAGGGAAATCCCTATTTCAAGACTAGACAGAAAATAAGTTGTACTGACTTTGCCTTGGTACTCCTTTTACATCCATCTAACTCCCTGCAATTTAATAGAAATCAAGCATTTAACTGAAATTTTCTTTCCTGTATCTGGTGTTTCCCTTCTACTTAATGCAAGCCACCTCTGAGGTGGTTAGGGCTTTAGGATCTCAGCTCCTCTCCAAGAGGAAAGTTAAGAGATAGCTGGCAAATTGCAGGGCCTCCAAACACACACCATGGTACTTGCCTGGTTATTTGTAATTATAAGAAAAAAAGAAACTAAATTATGTTTCTACCCCTGTCTTCTCCTCCTTGTTCCTTTCTGGTGGACAGAATGGCTGGATAAGAGTTCTTCATGGGCAGCCTGCACTCTTTCAAGATCCACAGAGCACGGACCTCGCTGCTAGATACTGTGAGGCACAGACAAAGGGAATGGGGTGATTCTCCTCTCCAAGATTTCTTGAGGGTGGAGGCTTGCCTCATTCATCTTTGCATCTTCAGACCTCCACACTTAAAGGTTCAGAGAAGTTTCCTAAAGGAGTGAACAAATGGCTGTATTTGGGGAACCTTGTCAATTGCTGGACAGTGTTTTGTTAACTTGTGGCTGTCTGGAAGTTTGAGAAACCCAACCTGGCTTGTTCTTTCCATCTTATCTTAAGGATGGCAGCACCGCGCTCTCAATAGCCCTGGAAGCAGGACACAAGGACATCGCTGTTCTCCTCTATGCCCACGTCAACTTCGCAAAAGCCCAGTCTCCGGTCAGTGTTGTACATTTGGC